TATTTGATTTGATTAACTTACTCATTATCTGATCAGCCAGGGTTTTTTCTTCTCCGTCATCATTACTGGACAGACCAGCAGATACAGCATGGAAATGATCCTGTGCAGCCTGCACTGCATCTGAGTCTTTCTTGCTCTTGTCTTCAAGCTTGGCTAGGGAGTCTGTTAACTTTTGCAGTTCTTTTCCTTTGGATTTCAGTTGTTGCTGGTCCTAAAAATAAATATTGAAAAAGGAAAAGTTAAGTGAAAGAAGAAGAGAAAGAAAGGAAATGGAAAGGAAAGGAAAAGTGAAAAGGGGGAGACGGAGAAGAGAGGAAAATGAGAAACAATAGGAAAGGAAAAGAGTAAAACGRCGATAATGGAAGATAGGAGAGCAGAAGAACAGAAAAATAGGAGAGGAAAATAGCCAAAGGGAAAGAGAGTAAATGCTGAAAAGATGAAAAGTGGAGGGGAATTAATTTAAAGGAAAGAGTAAAAAACAAAGAAAAAAATTAWAAAATAAAAGAAAGCAGAAGAAATAAAAAGTGGGAGACAGAAAAAATGCAAAAGAGAAAGAGAAGCAAAGGGAAACAAAGTAAATAATGAAAAGAGGAAAAGTGAAAGGGAATAAATTTAAGGGAAAGAGTAAATAGAAAAGAGAAAAATGGAAATGTGTAGGAGAGGAAAGGGGAAGACAGGAAAAGTGGGAGAGAAGAAAAGACAAAAAGGAAAAAAAGGAAAGGAGTAGGGAGGAACAAAAGAAAGAGATAATGTGGGAAAAAAAGTAGAAGTACAGTGTATAAAATCGCAATCAAATCGCGCACAGCAATAAAGAAAGATGTGAACAAATTGCGAGCAGATCGTAAGCCCTTTAGTGCAATCAGATTGCAATCTGCTCACCCAAAAATTGCAATAAATGAGCACGTTCTGGGCTGTGCTGTAATTGGAAGAATGAAAKGCCAGAAAAAATGGTGGGAAAAAATATAAACAAAGAATCCATGATCTTACATCATTGTGGCTTTTCTCCATGTTTTTCTTCTTTCTCYTCTCTGCAGTCAAGGACTCTTTTGCATGTTTCCAGTCTGAATTGGCTTTGACATCAGCCTGTTAAGAAAAGAAATTCACAACAAAATGCACAGGGCCATATCTAGATCTTAAACACCTCTTTTATGTAAATGATCAAACACTGGAGYAAGTGCATTCTTAAAAACAAAGGCTGAGTACTTTATTTTTGAGGCCTCTCCTCTGTTTTTGATTGGATTTAATAACTAGCCCGATGCGATGCCATTTTTGATAATTGCACAGATCTGTGATATAGGAACAATGGATTTGGAATTCATATTGATTTGATATGAATGTCCCCAGGACAGGTCTATATTTTTGAAATATAGAACTGTACTGGGACATTATTGAGGATAACAACCTCATTACACAATGGAATTTGGATTGTGGCTGGTTACTAATTACCACAAAGTTCCAAGACGTACACTGTATACATGTAGAGTGTATTTTGTGGCATTACAGCAGCCCTGTTGGTGTACCAAAACAATACATTCCCTATTTTCCAGGAATTGAACTTAATTTTTTTAAGCAAAAACTGTGCAGACAGTTTCTATTGCTTGTACTCAAATATGACTGCCTTGTTACATTAGTGAAAACACTCTAAACTGGTGAGTGCTGGCAACATTTTATCGCTTAACTATAAATTCTTTGAAAAGCAGTTTTTATAGTTTCAGGGTTATAGTTCCAGGGTTTGCACTAGGAGTTTCCAGTCCAGATCCAGGGTTCCTCATAACTGCTCACATAAGAGGCCCTAAGTATTTTGTGATAAGTGCCAATCAATAGTCCCCACCTGTGCCATCTTGAAAGGTAACTATGCCTGGGCATCAAAGCAAAAACAGCGGCGACCTTGCAACTATAGACCTTTGTTAACACCTTGGGCAATTATTTACATGTCTCTGTATTGCAAGTTCACCGCCATTCTTGCTACCATGCAAAGGCATGGTTAACTTTTCAGATGGTGGAAGGGAACTGTGCGTGGGTCTATTGTCAACACAAGTGAAGTAAGTCATGGAATGCATAACATTTCTAGAAATATCATTCAGTCATATTTTGGTTAAAAATGCAGGAATCATTTCTGTGATAAAATACTGTCAAAACTTTGGGATTGTTTCGAAGTTTCCAGTAGATGAGAAATAAGACTAGAAATTGCATTATACCTTTGAAACCTCCTCAAATTTAACTTCCAGCTGCTTCATGATTTCTCCTGATTCCTGTAATGACAAAAAACATCAAATCAGGAAAT